GGCCTCGGTCGTGTTGGCCGTCAGCGAGCTCGCGCGGCTGCGGCTGCCTGCCGTCGTGGCATTGCCGGCGCCGCTGGTCGAAGAGACGCTCTCGGCCACCGAGCCTTCGCGCCGCGCGCGCTCCTTGTCCTTGCGGCTCGAGACAAACGAGATGCGGCTTTGCTTGCGCTTCGGCTGCCGTACCTCGTCCCCCGTCGCGCCAATCATGCTCTCGATCGCATCGGCACCCGAAGCGGCGTTGGCGCTGTTGCCGTTGCCGACGGCGGCGGCCGCCGCCATCGCCGCCTGGTGCTCCTCGATCGGGATGCGGACGTTGCCCTGGCCCAGCGAGTCGGCGCCCGAAAAGTCGAGGCTGGGCAGGTGGACGCACTCGTAGCCGCCCTTGATCTCGCGGTACTGGACGCCGATGAGGTCGAGCACCTTGACCAGCGACGCATGGATGACGGCGCGCGGCTTGGTGCTCGTTGTCTGGACGCTGAACAGGCCCTTGAGGAACACGGGTTTGGAGCCGTGCTCGCGCCCGTTGGCGGCGGCCAGCGCAGACCCGCCGTGCTTGGACGTCGACGAGAGAATCTCGGCCTGGGCCGGGCTCGTCACCCCGATCCAGCCGCCGGCGCCCTCGCGCGAGCGCGCCGACGGTTCCTGCGAAAGGGAGCCCAACGGCGCGCTGAGCGACGGGTTGATGCCCGTGCTCGGCCGGCGTCCCGACGAAGTGGCGCCGCCGCTGCCGTTGGGCGGCGACATCGACAGGCCAGCCGCACGACCCACCGAGGCCGGGCCCAGCGAGGCCTCTTTGCGCCCCGCGCCGGCGCCATTCGCCCGCGAGGTCGGCATGTCGCCCAGCGTGCCCGAACGACGCACCGTGGCCCCGTTGGCCGGCGCCGTGAACGGGTCGTCGTCCGACTGCTGCTGCTGTTGCTGCTGGTGCTGCTGATGCTGCTGCTGCTGGTCTTTGCGGGCCACGTCGCTCTCCTCGACGCCCGACAAGCCAACTTGGATGCTGCCGCGCCGCGACGCGGGCCCGATGCCGCCAGTGCTCATCCTGGCGTGCCGCCTGCGCTCCTTGGCGTCGGCATCGAGCGGCGTCGAGGGAGAGCGACTCATGAACGAGCCAAAGCGCCGCGCCAGGCTGGCCCCGTAGCCTCCCTGAGCGGGCGCCGGCGACGACGGCACCGAAGGGGACTCGCCGCCGCCCAGACGAGGCAGCGGCGTGACGACCTGGATGCTCTTGCGGTTGTCCCGATTGGCGGCCATGGCGGCGGATGCGGCTGCGCTCGATGGCCGCATCGTCGCCTCGCCGCCGACGGTGTCAGCTCCCGCGGGATGGTCAACGAGGGTCGGCTGATCGCCTGCGCCCGACGTGAGCGGGGTGGCATGTGGCGGGAGGGGCAGGGGCACCGCCGGCGACAGCCTGCCCACCGGACCGGCGGCGCTCGAGGGTCGTCGCGCAGTGAGGCTGACGCTGCGCTTGTGGTGGTGCGCGACGGCGAAGCTGGGCTCGGGCCCCATCATCGAGGCGCGCGACGCGGGCACTCCAGCATCGGCCGGTCCGAGCGCCGAGGCGCGCATCGTCGACGACGCCGGCGCAGGCATCGACACCGGAACCGGCAGGCCCTTTTCGCGGAGCGCCGCCTCGATCTCTTCGGCATTGGCGCGGGCGCGCGGCGGGCCGACCATGTTGGCCATCGGCCTCGACTTTTCGCGCGAGTCAAACACGGGCGTGGGCGACGGCGGCACCGAGGCGGCGACGGGCCGCGGCGGTGCGGGCGCCGCAGCAAACGCGGCCTCCTGGCGCGACGGGTCGTAGGCGCGGTTGGAGACGTGCGGCGCCTCGGGCATGCGGAGCGCCTCCTGCGGAATGTCGGCGGCGGTGGGCATCGCCGCGGGAGGTCTCCCGGCAGCAGCGGCGCTGATGGTGTTGGCCTGCGAAGAAGACGCCGCGGCGGCCGAACTGTTGGTGAGAGAGAGGTTCGACGAGGCGAAGAACGAGTGGCCGTAGAGCCTCTCGCGCTCCATCTTCTCGCGAACGAGAAAGTAGATCGAGATGAGCGGGTGGAAGCCCTTGGTCGGGTCGATGGTCTCCTTGCCGCTCGAGCCCCAGCTGAGGCCGTTGGAGGCTCCGTTGGCGCTGGCCCCGTAGCCGCCTCCGCTGCCGCCGCCACCGCTGCCTGTGCCGATCGACGAGTCGTCCTTGCTGCCACCGCCAAACGCCGCCGCCAGCGGGTTGCCAGACAGCTTCTTGCGGTAGAAGTCGATGCCGGAGAAGCGGCGCGAGCCGCCCTTGGACTTGGCCGTGTCGGTGTTGGAGCTGCCGCGGCTGATGGCGCGATTGACGCTGCTGCCGTTGCCGGGCGACTCGATCGACGACGTGCTGGCGCCGGCGGCCGAGGCCGAGGCGCCATTGAGGCCGGCGCCGGCGGCGCTGACGATGCCCGGCGGCAGGTGCTTGACCTCCCACGCGTGGAGCGCGGCCAGGTAGGCCTCGCTGGTGAGAACGTCGTTGAGCTTGGCCTCGATGGCCTCGGGCGTTCCGAACTCGAAGCCCGTCATGCCGCGAACCACCTCGGGATCGAGGTTGCCGGCGCGCAGCGGCGTGCGGTCGGGCAGGTGCGGGTCCGGCGGGCCGTCGTAGCCCTTCGTCATCCACGGATGAGCGAGGATCTCGGTGAGCGTGGCGCGGTTGGCCGGATTGGTGACGAGCATGCGCGACAGGATGTGCTTGCACTCGCCGCTCAGCCACGCCGGGTATTCGACCTGGCCGCGCTTGATCTTGGCGTGCAGCGCCGGCATGCTCTGGTCGTCGAACGGCACCTTGCCGCACACGAGCACGTACAGGACGATGCCGAAGCTCCACACGTCGACCTCGGGCCCAGTGTAAACTTTGGCGTTGAGCAGCTCGGGCGCCGCAAAGTACAGCGAGCCACAGAATGTCGACAGGTGCGAGTGCGGCGAGAAGAGGTTGCTGAGGCCAAAGTCGATGATCTTGATGTTGCCGCTCTTGGAGATGAGAATGTTTTCGATCTTGAGGTCTGCGGGCGACAGGGGCCGAGGCGCGGGATGAGAGGCGCGGGGGGGAAAGGCAAGGGAGAGGCAAGCGTCAGCGAGGAGGGCTCCCGTCGTGCAGCGGGAGCTAGCGGTGCGCGGGTGAGGCGGGCAGTGGAGACGACGAGGCGCGCTCACCTCGGTGGACGATGCTGTTGCGGTGGCAGTACTCGAGCGCGCTGCCGATCTGGCGCGCAAACTTGCGCGCGCTCCTCTCGCGCAGCCGGCCGTGGCTGATGATGTAGTCGAGCATCTGGCCGCCGTTGACGTACTCAAACACCATGTAGTAGTGGTTCGGGTGGATCATCATCTCGCGCATGCCGCAGACGTAGGGGTGGTGGAGCAGCAGCTGGAGCGAGCCCTCGCGCATCGTCCGCACCTCCTTGGACTGGTCCTTGGCGGCCGCCTTGGCGATGTACGACTGCGTCGGTGGTGGCGGCGGCGGCTGCGGCTTGCCGCTCTCGTCGGTGGCGGCGTTGGCCGACGAGCGCGGCTGCTGGAGCGCCGCCATCGACGTGTGGCGCGGGATGATCTTGATGGCCACCTTTTCGCCGTTGCCCATCTTGACGCCGAGCTTGACGCGGCCCATGCTGCCGGCGCCGAGCGTCTTGCCCATAGCGTAGTCGCCCAGCATCCGCCGGCTGCGGCGCTCGCGATCCTTTTCCCGCTCCCGCTCCTTTTCCCTCTCGCGCTCGCGCTCGCGCTCACGCTCGCGGTCCCGGTCCCGCTGCTCCTTTTCGCGCTCCCGGGCGGCGCGCAGCCGCTGCTGCGACTGCGGGTGGGGCTGCGGATGCGGGTGCGCCAGCGACTGCGACTGCGGATGCGGTTGCCGGTGCGGGTTGGCCGTCTCCTGCGACGACGAGCCGGGGAGCTCGATGTGGCCCATGGTATCGCTGCTGCCGTCGCCGCCGCGGCCATCATCGTCCTCTTCCTGCAGGCCGGCATGGCGCTGCGCCGCCTCCTGCCGCGCCGCCCGCGTCTCGAGCACGCTGGCAGGCCTCGGCGGCTCCGAGCCCACGCCGCGTCGGTGCCGGCTGCTGTGGCCTCCGGGCCCGCTACCGACCGCGCTGGCGGGCGCGCTCGGCGACATGTCGGAGACGTAGTGCGCGTGCGAGGTTGGGGTCGGCGTGGCCGGGTCCGCCAGGGCGACAGACCTGTCGATGTCGGCACCAGCCGCGCTGCCCGCCTGGTTGGTGCGAGCGTGCCGGGCAGCATGATTGCGTCGGATGTCGTCGATGCTGTTGCGGTTGCTGTCGGCCAGCGAACGCACCGGGTCCGCGTCTGGCGGCGTACAGC